TAAAAAAATATATATATATATGTATATATATGAAACAGGTGTGGTGGCACATGCCTGCAGTCCCAGCTGCTCGGGAGGCTGAGGTGAGAGGATTCCTTGAGTGCAGGAGGTGGACGCTGCAGTGAGCTATGATTGTGCCACTGCACTCCAGCCTGGGCATCAGAGCAAGACCTTGTCTCTAAAAAACGAAAACAAGACCTGGCTCGGTGACTGATGCCTGTAATCCCAGCACTTTGGAAGGCCAAGGTGGGTGGATCACCTGAGGTCAGGAGTTCGAGACCAGCCTGACCAACATGGAGAAACCCCATCTCTACTAAAAATACAAAATTAGCCAGGTGTGGTGGCGCATGCCTGTAATCCCAGCTACTCAGGAGGCTGAAACAGGAGAATCGCTTGAACCCGGGAGGCAGAGGTTGTGGTGAGCCAAGATTGTACCATTGCACTCCAGCCTGGGCAAGACAAGTGAAACTCCGTCTCAAAAAGAAAAGAAAAAAAAAAAAAGCGAAGGTAACCTGAAATGTTAGTTCAAGCCATGATGGAAATGGGTAGTCGGACATGCCTTATAGCCTCCACCCTTTGGAATTTAGGCAACAACTGACCAGCACTAGCATTAAAACAGAAACTGTAAGATGGACAAAGCAGATTCTTTGTCGCAGTAAGATACCAACATGACAGATAGCAGGCCCTGGAAGAACTCAAAGTATTTTATTCTAATATATCTTTCTTTGACATATTTTGAAATGGCCCTGCAAAGCTGTCTCTTGTGGGAAAAAATTTACATCTGTAAAGAATTCTTCTCTCTTTCTGGGTCTTTTTCCTGATACAGGAGAGAATTATTAATAACTTAGAGTCTGGCACCTTTTGAAGTCTGATAGGAAACATTTACAGTCCATTCTTTATGAAGCCTTCTACCCGGGGCTTCATCTGCATAATAAGAATCTTGGTTTCCACAGCCCCTTATCTTAACCCAGACCCTTTCTTCTATGGATTCTAGGTCTTTTAGATAAACCCCTTTAACCAATTGCCAATCAGAAAATCTTTGAATCCACCTATGACCTGGAAGGTACTCTGCTCCCCTTTGCTTAGAGCTGTGTGTACTTTCTGGCCCAAACCAGCGCGCAGCTAACAGGTATTGATTGATGTCTTATATCTTTCTAAAATGTATGAAACCAAGCTGTAGCCTGGCCACCTTGGGCAGATGTTCTCAGGATCTCTTGAGACTGTGTCATGGGCATGTCCTTCACCCTTGCAAAATAAACTTCTAAACTGATTGACACTTGTCTCAGTTACTTTTTGGGTTATACCTTAAATATATACAATTTTATTTGTCAATTATACCTCAATAAAGCTGAAAAATGAGATAAACCATATATGAAAGAGTAAAGGGCAAGTAGAACAAATACTTTTTTAGTTGAACAAAAATAGGAGGGGCCTGCACAACAAATTATGAAAACATATTCTAAGATTATTATTGTATTGGTACGGAAAGAGATAGATGTGTTAAGATCTGCGTGGCACATTATTGAGTGAAAAAATAAGATGCAGACTAAGTTCGGTATACAAATGTTAATCACACCATAAAACAGCAATAGTAAAAAAATTAAAAGGTCCTATGTAATTTAAAAGCACATTAAAGCTTGAGAAACACTGAGGAATACGGTCCTTTCCATGAGAATTCTAAAGTCCTAAACCTCAGGAAACCATTCTTTCCTCTCTCTTTCCACAGTCTTACTCATTTGGGTTTCTCTAGAACCCAGTAATACAGTGCTAGTGTATTGGGCTAATACAGTTTTGGAAAATGCAAAAACATGCTAATGTTAATATGGTTACAAGAAAGCTCTGAAAGCGATGGCATCTTCTCTGCCTTTGTGATACCGAGGCCAAGGAACTCAGTCTTATGCAGTCATGTGTCACGTAACAATGTTTCAATAAACTATGAACTAGATATTCCACAGTGATCCCACAGATTACAAGGAAGCTGAAAAACTCCTATCACCCAGTGACACGGTAACACTGAAGTACAGTGTTTGTAGTAATGCTGCTGTAAACAAACACTGTGCTGCCAGTTGTATAAAAGTATAGCAATACAATTAGGTACATACAGTATATAATATTTGACAATGATAATAAGCAACTGTGTTGCTGGTTTATATATTCGCTACACTATACTTTTTACTGTTATTTTACAGTATACTCCTACTACTTATAAAAAGAAAAAAGTTAACTGTAAAACAGCCCCAGCCAGGTCTTTCAGGAGGTATTCCAGAAGAAAGCATGGTCATCATAGGAAGTGACAGCTCCTTGAGTGTTATTGCCCTCCAGTATAGATGGCAAGATGTGAAGGAGGGAGACAGTGATATTGATGACCCTGACCCTGTGTAGGCCTAGGCTATTGTTTGTGTTTGTGTCTAAGTTTTTAACAAAAATTTACAAAGCCAAAAAAAAATTTAATTGAAAGAAGCTTTGAGAATGAAGATATAGAGAAAGAAAAAAATACATATTTTATATATATATATATTTTAATGGAGCATTGCTCTGTCACCTAGGCTGGAGTGCAGTGGCGTGATCTCTGCTCACTGCAACCTCTGCCTCCTGGGTTCAAGCAATTCTCCTGCCTCAACCTCCCAAGTAGCTGGGACTACAGGCACGTGCCACCACTCCAGCTAATTTTTTGTAGTTTTAGTAGAGACGGGGTTTTATTGTGTTAGCCAGGATGATCTGAATCTCCTGACCTCGTGATCCGCTCGCCTCAGCCTCCCAAAGCACTGGGATTACAGGCGTGAGCCACCGTGCCTGCAAGAAAATATTTTTATACAGCTGTACAGTGTGCCTGCATTTTAAGCTAAGTGTTATTACGAAAGAGTCAAAAAGTTACAAAATAATTTAAAAGTATACAAAGTAAAAAAGTTACAGTAGGCCACGTGCAGTGGCTCACGCCTGTAACCCCAGCACTTCAGGAGGCTGAGGAGGGTGGATCACAAGGTCAGCAGATCGAGACCATCCTGGCTAACATGGTGAAACCCCATCTCTACCAAAAAGACAAAAAATTAGCTGGGCACTGTGGCGGGTGCCTGTAGTTCCAGCTACTCGGGAGGCTGAGGCAGGAGAATGGAGTGAACCCAGGAGGTGGAGGTTGCAGTGAGTCGAGATCATGCCACTGCACTCCAGCCTGAGCGACAGAGTGAGACTCTGTCTCAAAAAAAAAAAAAAAAAAATTACAGTAAGCTCACCTTCATTTATTATTGAAGTAAGAAATATTTGTATAAATTTAGTATAGCCTAGGTGTAGAGTGTTTATAAGTCTGTAGTAGTGCACAGTAATAGGGGCATAATCAGTCACAATATTATTTTTTATTTGAGAAAAACTCACTAAATGTAAAGGTAAACTCACGAAAATGAAGTATGTGCCTTTCAAAGAGAGGTAAAGAAAAAAAGTTTTAATGCCAATTTTATACAAAAACATTTATATAGCAATAATAACTGAAAAGATATACCAAAATATCAACATTAGTTGTTGCTCAGTTTCAAATTATGGATAAATTGGATTAATTTATAATTTTCAATATTCACCAAATTTTCATATAATGAACACATATTATCTCTTTTTTTTTCTTTTTCTTTCCTTTCCTTTTCTTTTTTTTTTTTTGGAGATAGGGTCTTGCTGTGTTGCCCAGGCTGGAATGCAGTGGTGTGATCTCAGCTCACTGCAGCCTCAACCTCCCAGGCTCAAGTGATCCTCCCATCTCAGCCTCCTGAGTACCTGGGACTTCAGGTTTGTGTCACTATACCCGGCGAATCTTCTGTAGAGACAGGATTCTGCCATTTTACCAAGGCTGGTCTCAAACTCCTGGACTCAAGGGATCTGCCTGCACTGGCTTCCCAAAGTGCTGGGATTACAGGCATGAGCCACCACACCAGGCCATGAACAGGTATTATTTCTGTCACTAAGAGAAAATGTTTAAGGAACACCAAAATATATAGTTGGTACTCCTTGATTATTGCTTCTGATTTCAAGTCTTGAGTTGGCAAAGGGAGCATACTTTTGATGGAGCACCCTGACACTTTTTTCCTACTCACTGCCACTGATTTGGAAGAAGTGACCCTCCAAGGACACTAAATTCACTCTTTGAAAATGACAAAAGTTGGCCAGGCATGGTGGTTCACACCTGTAATCCTAGCACTTTGGGAGGCTGAGGTGGGCAGATCATGAGGTCAGGAGACTGAGACCATCCTGGTTAACACAGTGAAACCCCGTCTCTACTAAAAATACAAAAAATTAGCCAGACATGGTGGCGTGCGCCTGTAATCCCAGCTACTCGGGAGGCTGAGGCAGAATTGCTTGAACCCAGGAGTTGGTTGTTGCAGTGAGCCGAGATCCTGACACTGCACTACAGCCTGGGCAACAGAGTGAGACTCTGTCTCAAAAAAAAGAAAATGACAAAAGTCTGACTACAGACATCCCTTCCCTTATTCTTCTAGCAAATTCTGGAATATAGCAGTAATTCTTTCCAATGTGAAAAGCCCACTTCCCTTACTGAAGGAAATCTTTTTAAAACTTTTTATTTTGGAATAATTATAGATTCACAGGAAGTTGCAAAGATAATACAGAGTGGTCCTTTGTACCCTTCACCCAATTTCCTCCTGAAGCAATTTTTAATCATGAATTATTTCATTCATTCATTATTATTATTATTATTATTATTATTATTATTATTCTTGTTAGAGACAAAATCTCACTTTGTCACCCAGGCTGGAGGGCAGTGGCATGATAATAGTTCAATGAAGGCTTGACCTCCTGGGCTCAAACAAACCTCCCACCTCAGCCTCCCAAAGTGCTGGGATTACAGGCACAAGCCACCATGTCTAGCCAATTTGTTTTTTTCTTATAGTTGAGATTAGTTGAGATTGGGAAGTGGTATCAGTTCTAAAGGCAAATCCAACAGGCCGTTCTGTTTCTCTATTTTGAAAACACGGAAATAACTTTTTTCTAACTTCCCATAGTTTACCCTGAGTCACAGATGTTTGAAAAGAAATTCCAGCCTGTTATGTAAGTTCTACTGCAGTATCAATATGTAAATGTAACCACTTGGTTGTAATTTCGATTCAAGAGTGCATTTGTGCTACACTTCTCTATTATATGAAATTACCCAGCACTGGCAATTACTCTCTTTGGCTTGGATGGTATAAAGAATGAGAAGACAGAGGGTAGAAAATATGATTTTGATTGATATAAATTAACACTTCTTTCCTGTCATCTTTGATTTGTTTGGTTTCATCAATTTGCAACACTGAGGCTTAAAAAAACAATAATTGGCCATGCTGCAGTGGCTTATGCCTATAATCCCAACTCTTTGGGAGGTCAAGGTGGGAGGATCACTCAAGCCCAGGAATTCAAGGCTTAGTGAGCTATGATTGTGCTACTGTACTCCAGCCTAGGTCACAGAGTGAGACCTTGTTTCTAAAAGATAAATAATAATAATAATATTCAATTAAGTCACATATTCTTTTTTTTTTATTTTTTTTATTTTTTAGATGGAGTCTCACTCTGTCTCCCAGGCTAGAGTGCAGTAGCACGTCTCGGTTCACTGCAACCTCCTCCTCCCGGGTTCAAGCGATTCTCCTACCTCCGCCTCCTGAGTAGCTGGGACTACAGGCACATGCCCCCATGCCTGGCTAATTATCGTATTTTTAGTAGAGATGAGGTTTTACCATGTTGGCCAGGCTGGTCTTGAACTCCTGACCTTGAGTGATCTCCCCACCTCGGCCTCCCAAAGTGCTGGGATTACAGGCAAGAGCCACTGCACCCAGCCAAGTCACATATTCTTGATGATGAGATTTACACCTGATTTAAATAGACAAAACAGTACATTTTTTGCCAAGTTGCTAAAGTGAAAGCACTGCAGCACAGAAGCAGCAAGAGTCTACAGTTAAGTATAGCATTAGAGTACTGTGACCCAGAGTCATGTTGCCCAGATTTCAATCACGGCTGTCTTAGTCTGTTTTGTGTTGCTGTAATGGAATCCCAGAGTGGGTCCTTTTTTACTTTCTTTCTCTCTCTCTTTTTTTTTTTTTTTTTTTGCTTTTTTGAGACAGGTTCTCAATATGTCATCCCCTCTGAAGTGCAGTGATGTGATCATGGCTCAATGCAGCCTCAAATTCCAAGGCTCAAGTGATCCTTCCACCTTGCTCCCCGCAAAGTGCTGGAATTACAGGCACAAGCTACTGTGCTTGGTTCAAGACGGGGTACCGTATAAATAAAGCAAACTGATTTTTTATCATTCTGGATGCTGGGAAGTTCAAGGTCAAGGAGGCCTGAATTTGGCAAGGGCCTTCAAGGTGTGTCATCCAATGGCAGGAGGTGGAAGGACAAGCAAGGGTGAGAGCAAGAGACAGAGACAGAGAGGGCCAAACTCACTTTATTTTATTTTATTTTTATTATTTATTTATTTAATTTTTTGAGACAGAGTCTTGATCTGTCTCCCAGGCTTGAGTGCAGTGGCGCGAGCTTGGCTCATTGCAACCTCCATCTCCTGGGTTCAAGCAATTCTCCCACCCCAGCCTCCCGAGTAGCTAGGACTACGGCACCTGCCACCAGGCCTGGCTAATTTTTTGTATTTTTAGTAGAGACAGGGTTTCACCGTGTTAGCAAGGAAAGTCTTGATCTCCTGACCTTGTTATCCTCCCACCTTGACCTCCCAAAGTGCTGTGATTACAGGCATGAGCCACCACACCCAGCCTGAACTCACTTTTTAATTTTTATTTTATTTTTAATTTTATTTTTATTTTTTGAGACGGAGTCTCAGTCTGTCACCAGGCTGGAGTGCAGTGGTGAGATCCTGGCTCACCAGGATGCAACCTCTGCCTCCCAGGTTCAAGCGATTTTCCTGCCTCAGCCTCCCGAGTAGCTGGGACTACAGGCACCCGCCACCATGCCTGGCTAATTTTTTGTATTTTTAGTAAAGACAGGGTTTCACCATGTTGTCCAGGGTGGTCTCAATCTCTTGACCTCGTGATCTGCCCACCTCGGCCTCCCAAAGTGCTGGGATTATAGGCATGAGCCACCGCGCCCATCCCAGAACTCTCTTTTATAACATTCTGCAGTAGTGATAATGAACACGTTCCTCCTATAATGACATTAACCCATTTATGAGGTCAGAGCCCTCATGGCCTAATCAACTCTTACTTGTCCTACCTCTTAATACTGTCACAGCAGCCATTACATTTCAACATGATTTTGGAGAGGACATTCAAACCACCGTTCTGCTCCACGAAAACTCATACAATATGGCTTCGTTCCATCCCAATAGCCCCAAAAGGTTTTAACTTATTCCAGTTCCAGCCTAAAAGTTCAAAATCCAGAGTCTCATCAAAATCAGATATAGGTGAGAGTCAAAGCACGATTCATCCTGAGGCAAATGCCTCTCTATCTGTGAGCCTATGAAATCAATAAGTTACATGCTTCCAAGATGCAATGTTGGGACAGGCATAGAATAGACATTCCTTTTCCAAAAGGGGGAAATGGGCAAGAAAGAGGTAACTGGTTCACAGAAAATCTAAAACTTAACAGTGAAAACAACATTAAGTCTTAAAGCTGGAGAATAATTTTATTTGACCCTTTGTCCTGCAACCTGGGCACAGTGGGGTTGAGGTTAGGCCTCCCAGTGTCTTGGGCAGCCCCACCCGATGGCTTTGCTGGGCTCAGCCTGTGCTACAGCTCTCTAGGGTTGGAGTCTTGTTCCTGCAGCTCTCCCAGGCTAGTGTTGCAAGCTGGTAGCTCTACAGTTCTGGGGCCTCAGGAGTGGCTCCACTCCCATGCATCCACTCAGAATTTCTCTAGTGAGGACTCTCTTGTAGCTCCAACTCCACATGTCTGTTCATTCAGTATTGCCCTAGTAGGGGGTCTCTGTGATGGTGCTACCCTTGTGACAAGTCTCTGCCTGGCTTCCCAGGTTGTCTGCAATGTGCTTTGAAATATAGGTGGAGAAAGCCATGTCCCCACAGCTGTTGCATTCTGTGCACCTGCAGAATTAGCATCATGTAAATACCACCAAAGTTTACAGCTTGTACCTTTTGGAGCCATGGATTGAACCTCACCTGGTCCTGCTTGAGTTACAGCCGGAGCAGCTGAGGAGCAGCTTTACAAAGTCAGCCTGAAGTTTTAAAAAAATCTTTTAGTTCTGGTTCTCTTTTAAGTATAAATCTTGTCTTTAAGTCTTTTCTTTTATCTTGCACTTTAAGTCTTTTCTACTCTCTCTTGCAGAATGTGGGGAGTAGAGACCCAAGGTGGCTCTGGGCAGCAAGCCAATAGAGGGTGCTCTGAAACTATACCCTGAAGACAGTCTGCCCTCCAAGAGCTCTGAGCCTGTGATGGTAGGGGCAGCCTTAAAGATATCTGAAGTGCCTTTGGAGTCATTCTCTCATTGTCTTAACGATCCCTTCTGTATGTACTAATCACCTTAGCAAACAGTTACTTGCCAAATCCTTGGTTCACTCTCCTGAACACACTTTTTAAATTCTTTACAAGGTCAGCCTGAAGTTTTTAAAAAAATATTTTAGTTCTGATTATCTTTTAATTATAAATCTCATCTTTAAGTCTTTTCTTTCCTCTTGCATTTTACTGTATGCAGTTAAGAGTAGCCACACAGCTCCCTCAATATTTTGCTTAGGAATTTCTTCCACCCGATATCAAGTTTATTGTTCTTAAATTATGTTTTCCATAAAGCCCTCAGGTTGGACAAAATTCCACCAATTTCTGTGCAACTGTATAACAAGAATGGCCTTTGCTCCAGTTTTCAATATCTTGTTTCTCATTTTCATGGGAGACCTTACCAGAATGACCTTTACTATCCATATTTCTACCCATTCTCTCATCACAACAACTTAAGAAGATTTACACCGGACATGGTGGCTCATGCCTGTAATCCCAGCATTTTGGGAGGCCGAGATTGGAGGATTACTTAAGGCCAGGAGTTCAAGACCAGCCTGGTCAATATAGCAAGACCCTATCTCTATTTTTTTTTTATTTAAAGAAAATGAAAAAAAGAAGATTTAGGCTGTCCCTATTTCTGGGGTCTTCCTCTGAGCCCTCACTAGAATTGTTCTTACTGTTCTATTCATGACACTCTAGGTTTTTTTCTAGACTGCTCCTCCAAATTCTTCCATGCTCTACCCATTACCCAGTTCCAAAGTCACTTCCACAGTTTCAAGTATTTGTTTTAGCAACAGTCCCACTCTCAGTAGCAATTTTCCATCTTAGTCTGTTTTGTGTTGCTATAACAGAATACCATATACAGGGTAATTTATAAAGAAAAGAAATATATTTCTTATAGTTCTGGGGGCTGGGAAGTCCAAGATCAAGGGGCTCATATCTTATGAGGGCCTTCAGGCTGTGATCTTTTATGGAAGAAGACAGAAGGGCGAGGGAAGATGGGAGTGAGAGACAGAGAGAACCAAACTCACTTTTAGAACAATCCACTTTCACAGTAACAAACCAACTCTCATGACAGCAACATTAAACTATTCATGAGGGATAACCCCTCATGGCTTAATCACCTCTTAATGGTCTCACCTCATAATACCATCATAATGACAACTCAATTTCAAAATGAGTTTTGGAGGAGACATTCAAATCATAGCAGTTGTTCTGCCATTTATGAGCTGTATAGTCCCGAGCAACTTCCTGTTACAAAGTATTTCACTGCCTGATCCATAGTAAACAGTTAGGAAATATTAGTAAACATTCCTATTGCAGCAGTCACAAATAGTTAACTCACATCCCTTGAGATTCCTATCCATTTTACTAAGGTTTTGCTGTTTTTGTTTGTTTGTTGTGGGTTTTTTGTTTTGTTTTGTTTTGTTTTTGCAATTAGGGCCTCACTCTGTCACCCAGACTGGAGTGCAGTGGCATTATCATGGCTCACTTACAGCCTCAACCTCCTTAACTCAAGCAGTCCTCCAACCTCAGCCTCCTGAGTAGCTGGGACTACAGATATGCACCACCACACACACTGATGTGGTTTGGATCTGTGTCTCCACCCAAATCTCATGTCAA